TGTTTTTTGTTAATTAGTTTCGAAATAATTGTGATATTAGAATGAAGTTTGGTATCTAGGGGTATTTTTTAATGACACTATTAAATTTCATGGTGGTTTGTGGTGGTGGTTCTAGAGCTAGTGGCGGAAAAGGCGTGTTTTTCTAGTCTATCAAACTACGATTGATTCTAAGACGAAAGGCTCTCGAAAAGTGCCGTATTGGCTTTGTGAGCATTGGGGAGAATACAAAAATTCTCTAGGACGAGAAACGAGAATAAGGAATATGATAGTTACAGTGCCTTCGTATTAAAGTACTGGATATATTAATTTTCAGTGAAAATATCCATTTCTGAGGAATCTCCTGGAACAGGTCGATTTTTAGTCTCAGTTTGCCACCTTGGTAAGGGAAAATTGAATATTATACAGAATAATCCTCGACATAAATCATTGAATTATTGGAACGTTCTTTCTAAATATTATTTCCCAATTTTTTTACGAATTGATCCACTATCTAAGAATTAAATTGTTTTAAGATCGCAAATTGGATGCGAGAAAAAAATCAGTGTGCAGAATACGTCTCAATTTGTATGGTATAAACGCGCTGCCAAATTCTCGCTAAAACGGATGAAAGATGTGTTTCGCCTGTTCAATAATTCAATACGCCCGAAAAGGAACGTTCTCATGAAAGTTCCTGTGCAGTCTTTTCGATTATTTTTATTTATTACTTGTAGGTACATGAAATTATACTCTTTCGATTGGATATCAGTGGCGTAACACTCAAAAGGAATGTTGCAGTTTTTTTTTAATATTGAATCAACTATTTGGAGTACATAATAGGTATTTTCTGATGTTATTGATCTTGTTTTTCCCATTCCGAAAATCTTGGAAGTCACAAAGTTTTCTACCGTTTCATGGATGATAGTACATTATACATCAAGGGACAGAATCGCAAGGTGCAAGGTGCGACTTGTAGCACGAGGGCGAAGCCCGAGAGATACAAAGCACCGAGGGAAAAATAGCGTTCTGAGGTGTATATGTCGGCGTCAAACAGTGAAATCCGTCATTCTCTGGAATGCCTAGTCATTTCACGTATTGCCGGCGAATAGCGTAACTCTAAATTTCGTACACCGTTTGCCTAATATAGTTTCAGGCATTTCCTTCGAAAATAAAAAATGGGGGATAGCTGTCGAATGTAATAATAGTATATTATTCGACGAGCGTGTAATGATGGCCATTACTCATGAGAATGAAGTTTGCGACGTGAGCCGCAGGCGAACGTCGTAATCATTCGAATGAGTAATAGCCATTACACGCAAGTAGAATACTATACTTTTTCTATGACTGAGTGATGAACTGGTTGAGTTCATCAGCAGTGAATATCTTCGCTTTCTGTGACATATATCGATCAGATATCCTTTTTAGAAATGCTCGTAATTTCAAATATTTGTCAATATTCACATAATTTTCCATTGAAATTGTGCTTCTTAGTATATGCATGGAATACTGTGACCACAAGGAGGATGCTTTGTGTTTAGCTGCTAATTCGCCAAAATAGAGGCTAGCAGTACATTATCCGAAAACGAATTTGCAAGTTTTGCTTTTCGCCAAACCACTTCATACCTTTTTTTAGATTCCTCGGGCAAAAGGCTGATTGTACTTGAATTGGCAGCTTTCGAAACTTCTGATGGTGGAGAGCAGTTGAATTCATTTTCGCTTTCAGAATCCATATTTGTACAAAAAGTCAGTTCTAAATCACGCCAGATAGCTATTGTCAAATTATGACATTTCATGACGAGTCTGATTCAAACGTTTCACTGCATGCCCCATATTATCATTACAACACTGGTGTCAACTGTTTTGTAGGTAATGAATCTACTTTGTTGCTGATTGGCCATAGCCTGTTGTGTAAAGGCTCTTACACACGGGGCGTGGCTTGTTTTGTGTAATGCATCCAGTTACCCAACAAAAATGTTACATTAAAAGGGTCTAGTTTTCAACAGTCATAGAAAAAATTTCTTATGTCATTTTAGGAAGGCACTTCAATACCATTCAACGCAGTTTTTGAACTTTTCAATAATCTTGTCAAATAAGTATATTATACTATTTTTTTGTTCTATAATTTGTTCTATCCGTCATTCGGTTGCCCCCTTACGAGCAACCCTCAAAAGTATACTATAAATTGAGACAACCGGTTTATTTATATTATACTATAATATCCTCATCTAGGAGGAGAATAATTTTCAAGAATCTAGAGAAATGGAGATTTACTGGGTTTAATTTTCGTTTTCGTTCAAAGATCAATTTTTCTTTTGTAAAACTCAAATGTAACTGTGATCGAATGAACATTATTATTATATTATCAATTTCATGGAAGCAATCTTCCTTAGATTGTTTCATGTTTTGTCGTTGAATTCAGGATGACTATCTGTATACAGAACGTACGCATCCACTCCAAAAACAACCCCAATGAAATTAAAACAGTGGCAATAAACGATTCATCACGCTAGAATTACCCTCAATGATATACGGAGCTACGAACGTTTACCAGATTTTTGCGCCGCCGATTGTTACAACTCCCTTGATTGACAAGAAAACAATGTCGTGACAGAATGACAGACGAACAAAGAGTTGGCGAATCGCCACGAATGTCATTTTTGACTTTGACGAATTTGACGCCCTACGAATCGATTTCACGTACAGAACACAACTAATGATTCACGAATAGTGAAGTGCAGGGGTGTCCCGCGAGGCACCGTTCTCGGCCCCTTGATAATGCTGGATTTTCACTTATTTCATACTTGTCACCTCTGATGAGGATGTGCAGTAAAAGATATATATAGAGGTATATAGAGGTATATTCTCGGATGAATAATAGCTTGAATATAGCTATTATCATTCAGCATAAATAAAACTGATCATATACAGGGAGATATTTTAGGAAATGAAGTTCATATAAACATGATGATTGTGTCGATCCTCACTTGCTTCATTTTCGAGATTCAGGGTATTAATCATTTCATGAAATTTTTTTTTCTATTCATTTCCCAATTGTCTCTTTATCAATATCAGTGGCGTCACGACAGTGGGTAAATTTATCGATATTCATGGTGAATGTCATTGTACACCATCGGTTTTTCTGAGTTTCATATTTTTATTAGATTGAACTATTGAAATAACAACTTTCATATTCTCTTTGTGATTTTTGTATCTATTACTCAGTTTTTGAGGAAACAATAAAAATTCGATTTGACTCTAAATTATAATGTAGGTGTTTTCAAGACTTCCAATAACCCCAATTAGAATCATTTTGTAATTTTGAGGCTTCCCCAGTCTCCATCCATACTGAATTTTGGCACCATGAAAGCTTATACAGGAGAGTTATAAATAAAAACAAATAAACACTTCCAACTTCAACATCCTGTATCTCTAAACGGAGCAAGTTAGTACACATGTTTATATGAACTTCATTTGCTTTTTCAAATGGAATGATGGTGGGCCAGGAATTTTTTTCGAAGAATATTTTTCAACTAATTAATTGATACCACATTTGTCAATATCCGATTGAAACACAAAATGGATGAAATCAAAATGAATTCTAAAAGAGCGAGAAATTATGTATGATGTGTCTAGTTGGTTATGATGTCTTACTGGTAAAATCATAACTACTACTCTGTATGTGAAATGGTCTCCTGAATAAAAAAATGTGGAAATATACAGGGTGACCCATTTGTGAATCGAAAGGTCTGTTGATTTCGGCTGAAACCGAAAGTAATTCAAAATGTTCAATTGTATCAGTGCGAATACGAAATAAGATGTTTTTTCTGTGACGGAAAAAGTTCGAAACATCCTGTATATTGAGTTCTTGAAAACTTCGATAAAGTTCTTGCTATCTTATTTCAATCATTGAAATTACAGATGAATTAAAAAAGATGGAATTCAAAGAGAAACAGAAGTTTCATTGTGTATTTCAAGGTTGCTAAAATTGATGAACATTTGTAATCATCAATTCTTCCAACCTTGGTGTAATTCAACATGTCTATCACCTATCGGATAATAGTAAAACCTACAGACAGTATGTAGTTTTCTGTTTTTGATCATCAGTTATTAGTTTGAGTGGTTCAAAAAGAGATGGCACTTGCATCTTAGAAACAGCAATGTTGGTAGAACTGATCATCAGTTTTACCAACCTTGTAGAAACAGAACATTTACTTGTCACTGTCATTTACTGCCATAGATAAGGTGGCTATAATTGACGATTTGACGAATGAAGTAGACACCTATTATGGCTCCTTTCGATCCAAAACGGTCGTTCCGCTTGAACTCCGACATGAAAACCGAACGCAGCTAGTAGTTGCGTTTTATTTCTCAGATTCCTCCACTGGAAAATCACATCAAGTGTGTCGTTTTATTTGCAACTTTTTCGATTCTGGGTGCTACTCTTTATTTTTTCTCACTACAAGGAATGTTGTGGAATTCCTGTTGACAGTGGACACAAAATAAATTAGATTGATTGAAAACGAATTTTTTTTGAAGAAGGAGACGATTAAAAGACATTTTCATCGTAAGGTTTGAAAGTTTATGATTCTTCCAAGTAAGACAGAAGAAAGGTTTCAAATCTTCATTCCAAGACAAAATTAATTCTCTCGATCTCGGAGAACAAGCAGTGCTCCAGATATGCGTTTATTTATTTTCTTGATCTTCAACTCTAGTATTATGATTTTGAAATTATTCGGAGCCCCAATATATAAATTTAACCTCTATCATCCATTCTCTCATGCTAGGTCATGAAGATTGTCGATAGAAAATATCACGTCGCCCCACCTGACAGCAGTAACTTGAATATTTCTGATCGGTTTGTTTTGATGATATGACCAATAAGCACAAACAAAAAACAAATGTGCTCCAATGAAAACAAAGTGAACATCGAACTGTCGTTTCATTTGCGAACGTCATTCTGTTCCCACCACCTTTACCAGAATGGATCAAATAAAACGCAACTAGTCACTAGTTGCTAGTGTCTTGGCCGCTTGAGGTTGACGCCGTCGCCGTTGACAGTTGACGCGTTGAAGTATTGACGTGTATCGTTTTCTGAAGAGGTTAAAAAAGTTAAAATTTGAAAACGGACACGTCTCATTATTATAATTTACTAACCGGGACTCTCTGATACAAATACCAAACATGAGGGCCCCCTGGTGCATCCTAGCGATGCTCCTGTACACATTCTGCGGTGTGACGGACACGCAGAAGAGGCCTGGCACCACCCTTGCAGAGAGGGTGCAGCAGCTCACCGATATGTCCAATAAAAGGGCTGTGCTCAGGTTCAACGCCAACAAGTTCAGAGATTTCGTCAAGGCGACGCCTAGGAACTACTCTGTTGTCATCATGTTCACGGCAATGGCCCCACAAAGACAGTGTCAAGTCTGTAGACATGCCAGTGATGAGTACACAATTGTTGCCAACTCCTTCAGGTATGTAATAGATGAAAGGGTCGTTCAGTTCAACAATATTTTTTAATTCTTCAGGTATTCACAGTCATACTCCAACAAACTGTTCTTTGCTGTAGTAGACTTTGATGAAGGCTCTGATGTCTTCCAGATGCTGAGATTGAATACAGCACCGGTTTTCATACATTTTCCACCTAAAGGAAAGCCAAAGAATGCTGACACTATGGACATACAAAGAATTGGTTTTGCAGCAGAAACTCTTGCCAAATGGATAGCAGAAAGAACAGATGTACAGATCAGAGTGTTCAGACCTCCCAATTACTCAGGAACACTTGCCTTGATTGTGCTTTTTGGCATTGTTGCTGCCTTCTTATATTTGAGAAGGAATAATTTGGAATTTTTGTACAACAAGAATATGTGGGGCATGGGAGCATTGTTCTTCTGCTTTGCTATGACTTCTGGACAGATGTGGAACCATATCCGTGGGCCTCCTTTCATCCACAAGAATCAGAATGGGCAGATTGCCTATGTCCATGGGTCATCACAAGGGCAGTTCGTTCTGGAGACCTATATTGTGATGTTTTTGAATGCTGCTGTTGTTTTGGGGATGATTTTGCTTACTGAGGCTGCCAGGGGAAAGGGGGACCCAAAAAAACGTAAAATTTTTGCTGTTGCAGGTTTGATCTTAGTTTCAGTTTTCTTCTCTCTATTGTTGTCTGTTTTCAGGACAAAGACACAGGGGTATCCCTATAGTTTCTTGTTCAAATAGATGAGCTATGTTTGTGTACTTTCAATGAGTTTTCACTCCTGTAAAAGAAGTGTATATTCAACTGTTTGACTTATTTAAATAAATTTTGTTGAATAAGTTGACTTCCTTATCTTGAAACCCTTCAATACCTTTGGATGTTAGGCCTGTTTGGTAATAGGAAATTCTATAATGACATAATATAAATAATTTATTAAATGGAAGCTGAATAGGTATGATATATTAATGTAAAATAAATTAAAAATTAAATAATTATAAATCTATTAGGCTAAAAACTAATTCTTTTTGTTGGATTTCTTGATGTGGTGATAATTTGGTAACATTTTTGTGAGGGTTTCAATCTGTAGAGTCTGTGGCTGGAAAAGAAAAGAAGTGAGCAAATTAATTCAGGAAAAATGGTAAAATTTAGTTCTTTGAGGCTTAATCAAAAATGATTCAGAGCTAACCAGTATTCTGTATGGAAAAATCAGCAATAGGAATATTAATGAAATAAGAAGTGCAAATCGAAATAATTAAAATGAAGACACATCTAACACAACTTGGCCTGAAACAAATTAGTGAGAAATACAAACTTCCTGCATTTATAGATTATAGGTAAGAAATAATGTATAATCATCATATCTTGAAAATCCTGTCCCACCTGTGGTTTGTCTAGTCCTTCCCTCATCTGACACCTAGATCCATAAATTATCATTTTATCCTTCAGTGTCTGTTCCTCTGTCAACCTGCATCCTGCTCCAATGATGCACCCATCAGAAACTGTGACTCTGTTGCCCACAAAGCATTTTGCCTCAAAAACATTGTTGCTACCAATTTTGGGTGACTCCACATTACAATCTACTTCAAAAACATTGTGGGAACCTATTAAGAGCACAGGTGTGCTGTTTTCCTTGTTTCTCTGGTCAAAAGGCAGTCTGAAAAGTCATGTGAAATCAAATGGGTATGTTTTTTAAACAATAGAAACCTATTTTCTGAACAGAATGCAAGCTTTTAGGGACATGAAAGTGCTCAAGCATAACTAGACAGCATATTATTTTGACATGAAAAATTTAGCAGGGATCAATAAAGATTCTTTTCTTTGAATAAAACTTTGGACTATACATCAAGTATCAGTATTGAAAAGGATCAACTCAGATAAATTCTAAAATGGATATTGATTATCAGATTGAGACAAAAATAACAGAAAATTCAATTAAAGGATTTATTACCTATGCACTATTCTGACTTGTTCCTCTATCAAGCAATACTCTCCAATGATAATGGGGCCAGCTTCTGCTATTATACTTGCCCTAGGATGAACTATAGTGCCAGAACCAATTGTTATGTCTCCTCTTAGTTTACTTTCTTCACATACTAGTGCTCCTGGTAGTATCTTGATGCTAGAAAATATTATTTTTTCAAATGACTGTGATGATTCAGAGTCAGAATAAATGTGAACATGTTTATGTTTATATCGGTGATGAATTCGCCAGCTTCAATCTACCCGAAAAGATATGGTCAAATTACAAATTTTCATTTGGTAGATTTCTTCACTGACTGCAAATCAAAGGAATCTAGGTACTAATTTCTTTATTTAGCAGTGGTTGGATATTACTTATAGGAAAATAATTTTGTTAGTATATTTTTTAAACCCTCTGAATTTGAATTAATGTTTTTACCTATTTCTTGACATGTTGATTTTTAGACCATAACAAGGAATTCTATGCAAGGGCAAGGAATCAAGCAAGATCAAGCCCATTTGACATTTAAGATTTTGACAACAGTCAACACTTCTAACCTCAAAAAGTTCTCTTCTCTTTCCGAAATTCCGAAAGTCAACTTCTTTTTTTTATATATATCGAAGACTGGAACCTTTGGCACGATAATACACTACACTGTTTTACCACTAACCAAACCGATTTTTTAAAACTGAGTTTTAATCTTCTCCTGAAGATGCTAACATAGTTAGCGAAACACGTGTCCAGGCGTTAAAAAATCGGTTTGGTTAGTGGTAAAACAGTGTGTTCTTTTTTTTATTTGTGACAACTGACAACTTAGCCAGATCTCTCTAGCAGCAAAGTTCTTAGTGCTCGCTTACGCACGCTCACTTTAAAGAATCGGTCAATGACGGCTAGACGGGTTATACCCGTCAGACAGTCTAGATATCTAGCTGTCATTGAATCGGTAATTGGTCCATATGAGACCAATGAACTCAGTATAGACAGGGGCGAACTCAGAATTTTCTTGGGTGACAGGTTTTGGGGGCGTAATAGAGGATTCAGAGTTTTGAAGGATACTGGACGGATTTACAGGAAAATAATAGTGTACATGTCTATTTGACTAATCGAACATACAATATTATGTAGTTAAAAAAAATAATTTTGAAAATTCTACAAAACTATATACCTAATAAAAATGAACAACAAAGATTCAGGAACCCTCCAAAACGAAAAAATAGTTTTTCTGTTCAGAATAGATTAATTTGAGGCCAGTTTTCAGTTTCAAACAAATTCACCTAAATATCATTATAGTTTCCATAGAAATGAAAGTATAAGATTCAGACTTTTGTCAGGGTTTTCAGATCTGAAATTTTGATGACCTCAATATTACTCTCCTTTCCATATAGGAAACAATCGACTTTCAAGTTCAAAAATTCAAATCAAATATCCTGTATACTTTTACATTCTTGGATTTTGAAGACGATATTCTGGATTTCAGACAGCACAGATTCAAGGACTGTTGTCGGAATGATTATGAATTAGTATATTGTTTAACGAGCAAAATTTATACAGGGTGTTTCAAAAAAACCTGACCCCCTTGCTACGGTAGGTAGAACACTGCAAAATGAGTTGGGTTTGCTCAGTGAAAAAATGTAACGGCATCCGTTTTCATGATACAAGGTGTTGAAAAAATGATTTTGTTTACACATTTTTCACGATTATGTCGAAACTACTGGCAACATTGTAATGAAATTTCGAATGGATGTTTCTACAAATCTGACACATCGCATGAATTTATTTTTATATCTGACCCTCATAGAGGGCGCTAGTTACACGGTTCGTACCGATACTATGTTCCGTTTTCGGAATACTGCGATCTGAAAATAATGGAGTAGTAATGATGCTGGTATGAAATGAATTTTATTGAGTTCAATTACCTATTTATCCAGATTCAAAAACGATACAATTATTCTTGTGCTGAAGTTATTGATGGAACAAAGAATCATAAGTAGAAAATTAAGAGATATTCGACTAGAAACATGAAATATTGAATCAGTTAGAGTACCTAAGTGTTCAAAATGTCCTACGTTTCGACGAATTCACGATTCTATAATCTTTTCTTAGGAATGAATTATTCTTCTAATTCTAAACAGTTGAGGATCATTTACGTGATGGTCAATTATGTCTTACAAACTTTTGACGTGAATTTACCTATGTAGCATAGACTTTCTGCTCAAGATACAACAAAACTGTGAAATCCATGTTCTTAGTTAAATCTGTTTCGATGTTATTCTTGTGATCCATTGTTAAATCAATAAGTTTAGCATCAGAAATGTATTGTGGTTTTCGGTTTTCATTAAATAGGTGATAATTTTTCATAATATTCACTCTAATACATAGCTTTATACCAGCAACAGTTAACACTTCATCATTTTCAAATCGAAATATTCCGAAAATGGAACACAGTATCGAGTTTTACCAAGAGTACCTTTTTGGTGTGGAATTGAATGATGCTCAAGTTCACATCAAATATGGATTGAAAAATCTAACCTCAAAAAAGTAATGTTCAAAACTACTCGGTACGAACCGTGTAACTAGCGCCCTCTATGAGAATCAGGTATAAAAACAAATGCATGCGATGTGTCAGATTTCAAGAATCATCCATACAAAATTTCATCACAATGTTGCCAGTAGTTTCGACATAATCTTGAAAAATGTGTAAAACAATCATTTTTTCAACACCGTGTATCTTGATAACGGATGCCGTTACGAATTTTTTTACTGAGTTAACTCAACTCATTTTGTATTGTTCTACCTAACCTAGTAAGGGAGTCAGGTTTTTTTGAAACACCCTGTTTGTACCCAACCGTGATTTTTATGTAAAATAGCATAACTCAGTATAAATAGGAAAATAGGTACCTGCATCAATCATATACAATGTGAACCATCTATATACCATTAACTTTTCCTCAAAAGGCGGCCTCTATTTCTTCGAGCTAAAGTGTAGTAAATAATGAAATTGAGTTGTATTTCCAGAGTATAAATATTTGCTTTTAAAATAAAATCACATTCATAATAATAGGTGTATAATATTCTTATTTTCACAATATTGATAACTACATTCAAAACATTATCGAATATATAATTCTAATTATGTTAGTAGAAAGAATTAAGAATCAAACTTCCCTATCTCAGTTATTGGTCATATGATTACAATTAATATGATGATTCTGACAAAACCACTTTAATTTGGACAGTTCTGTGTATTTCTATTGAATTTTTTGCCTATCGAAATTCAGGCATTGAGGTGAGCAGACTATACATGAAATAATGACTGATGTCTCTGAAAAAATGACCATAAACGATCTGTATACTTATTACATTTTCTGATTTTGGATAAGAGATACGCAGAACTTTATCGTATAACAGGAACTGAGTGGTTTTCTGATCATCTTGAAAAAACCATAACTTCTTGAACATTTCCATGTTGTTGTTTTGGTCGTAACGATGAAAATAAATTTGCCCATAAAGAGAGCAACTCCATGACAGTGTAAAATATATACTGTCGACGGATAGCTCTCTTTACTTTCAAATTTAGGAAATACATCAACCGATTCGACATCATCAGCTGCCCATTTGTTATCTGTAAAATAAAAATAAATTAAAATCGGATAATCCAATTTCGGAAATTCTCAGGGCATCTCCAAACGTGTTCTACAGGATGAACAAAATCAATGACTCAGGTCAATTTCAAGAAAAGGAAAAACGATCGGAAAGAGAACCAAGAATGATAGAGAAAATCTGAGTAGAGTCCTATATTGAACTGAATTTCCATACTTGGAAACTGAATAACTGATGAAGTCTATGAAATTCATCAGAATTATTTGAAGAGATCGAACTTTTCTGAAAAATAATTCGTGTATCTTATCGAATTCGTCGATAAGAGTTAAAAATGTCAAATCGTTACCTACGATTCACCTAATTGGGGAGTCTCTACACATTGGTAGCAAAGTCACAGAAAAAAATATTATATTAGTATACACGGTGTAATTTATTTCATGGCTGAAACTAGAGGAAAATATGGTTCCTCAACTCATTTTAAGAAGGTAAGTTCATATGCATATATGCCCTGAACTTTATAGCTATAGGCTTTTCTCATGATAAAAACATAAGGCATTTTTTGATGCAGGAGATTTTCCAATATTCCTACCAGGGCCGTCCGGATGTATACTGGAGATTTTTCTAAATCATATTGTACGCCCTTGCTTTTTCCAAAAATAAAAATCCAATTTGAAATCCTCATTGATTTTACAACAATTTGATTTTTTTGAGATCGGCAAAAATTTTTCGCGTGAATGAATAAAAACCATTCTCAAGTATTTGTGGCATTACGAAACTATTTTGAAATAGTAGGCTCTGTGCCCTATTTTTTATTTAAAATATTGATATTCGATCGATTACGTTGCGGTGTTATCTTGACAAGTATTCATAAACATAAGCTTTTTACATTGTGAAAGTTTCTTCAATGAATAGAGAGAAAATGGAACACCCTATAGCTCGAAAGTTAAGAATTTTATCCTGTATATTTTTACGAAACTCCAAAAATTACAAAACAAAACATGTTCAGATTCCTATAGATGTTCAGTAAAACTCTTCATACATTTTCATATAATACATCGTTCAATTATAAATATTGTGGAATCCAGATTTTAAATAGGTTCAATTTCGATTCAATTTTTGTTAAGTAGGTATGGGTCTTCTTCTCGGTCTCCATGTATATTTTGTAAACCTCATTCTCACTTATAATACTTTCTTTATGGATATAGAAAGCCTTCTATACACCTCTACCTACGTATGTGTATTGCTATATCACTAATTTTATTTCAAAACATGATCTATACATTATTCATTTCTGAACATTTCTCGGTGATTTCTCGCCTTGTTTCAAAAAATAAGTAAGGACGAATACCGAATACCTACTTTTCTTTTTTATTCAAAAATATTTCCAGACGATCAGGTGTCACTATTAGAGAGGGATTTCTCTGTTGGCTCTTTGAAAGTAAAATTTTCAACGCAGACATTTTGGGACAAATTTGATTATTCCTCAAACTACGAATGTATTGAAAAAATCCCAGAAATGCTATACCAAGTGAAATGGATATTTCATGTCCTCCATTAACTCACTGATATACCATTACCTATTTGATTTATACGGTTATTATTTTCTGAATAGTACAGGTAGGAATATCACGATAAAAATCGATATACATATTTTGCGAACGATATTCGCTCAGTCAGCTCGTGTTGTTTTCCAAACAATAAAGATAAACGTATTAATGATGATAAGTATTCCTATAGCAATAGACATGTGTCTACAACTGATAGGTTCGTTCGAACCATCAGATGACCCAGCATCTAAGTGCACCCTGTGAATCTGTTAGTTCATGCAAATGAAAATTTCAAATTGACACCCTGTATGCAAACCTTCAACTGGAATGAATCCACTGAAACACAAAGAATATAAGAACTCTGAGAAGACCGGAGAACATCGTGCAGAATTTTGGAAATGCATCTTTCTTAAGGTGGCACCAAGATCCCGTCCGACATCGTAGGTATCACCCTGTACATGGTTTTATTAGGAGCAGAGTGTGGAATATTCAGAAGCTCGTCTCAGACGGACCATCGGTGCCTAATATGTTAATGATACCACCATAATAATAATTACCACTCATTTTCACCTGCATCTAGTTTTTGTTTACTTTCGGAATTATCACTTCATGAAGAAATAAACCTGGC